TAGACACAAACTGCTAGCTGCCCTGCCAGCTAGCAAACTCCCTTCCATTTAAACGGCCTTAAGACGAACAGCCCCACCACCACAGTGACCGTTTCAACTCCACTGTTACTACGTGTCTTACCTCGAAGTGTTGAAGCGGCGCCGCGGGTATTTAATGAAGTCCCTGCAGACAAATGTTTGGTCGCAGTCTTTCCGAAGCATATGGGGGCGGTGGCGGGAACGCGCACCTCCTAAATAAACTGATCAGGGCGTTAGCCAATCAGCAGCCATGCAGAGGATCCATCGCTAGTTTATTCATAACTAGATGATGAGCTGCAGCTGCAGGCTCTGTAGAGAACGCGTTTCTTTTTCAGAAGCCGCTTCATTTGGCAAAGTAAAAAGTAAAAAAACAAACAATAAAGAACAATCAAAAGGACAATTTTGTCGGCTAACAGTTCAACATAGCAAAAGTTTAAAAAAAGAAAAAAAAACTACAACTGAATCAGTTTTCCATATTGTTTTTAGCTTGTGTAGAATACAGACATAATTAGAGATCAATCCGTGTAAAATACTTATTTTTTTAACATACTGCGTAAGTAAATGTAACTTCAATAATCTCCAGATTATACAAACACAGTTGCACAGATAGTTTAAATCTGAAATTGCAGATCGCTCTATACTGCCCATCTGTGGACATCCTGTAAAAACTACCGAGCATTAGTTGCACAGTGGTGCCATGGAAAATCTGTCAGAGGGTACAGTGTTAGATGTTTGTTGTGAACTTAAACATCTACATGGTGCTGTAAGTATTATTCTCATGGCACTTACGAATAATAAAAAGAATCGTTCCAGCTACTTGTCCATGCTTGCTAGGCTTTTTATTTTACACATCCACACATTTTAAATCATGCTTTATATATATATATATATATATATATATATATATATATATTTTTTACACATTATTGTATTAATGGTCTTGTTTTTGTAGTTTTAGAGCAAAGTCTGCTATTAAACCTCGACTAAAATGTAAAATTTAGTTTTAAAAATTGATATAAAAAAGAAGAAATGGGTTGATTTGCAATAGCCCATCCCTGGTTTTTTTTTTTTTTTTTTTCTGTATTTTGCTTTAAGTTTACTTCAAGTTTTATGACCAACAGCGAAACACCCACTAATAATAATAATAATTTTTAGTTGCCTAATGTGTATCACTATGAAGTACCTCGATCTACTGGCCTATTGTACAACTACAAGCATTAACTCTAAGCAATGCCGATATTCTTAATATATTACATTAGGAATACATTCTTGAAAGTAGCCCCTCTCCAGTGACTTCGCCCCTCCCCACCTTCCAAAAATAGACTTGACTTGTGCAGTCACACCTGCATGGAAATTCAGAAAGAGTATACACAATGTGCCTATGAAAGCAAGAACTTCATCCAGCAACTCCAAGTGGCACAACATGCAGGCTGCAGAGTGTAACCTACATAGCTCTGTTCACGTCAAGAGTTACACAGGATATATCCATTTTTAATAAGTTAGTGTTTGAAAATAGAGCATTAAAAACAAAGAGTTTGTTTGGCACCTAACAAAGGCCTCTAGAAGATAAACTATGTTTTAAATTAGCCTGTTGTAGTGACCGCTTTCCAAAATTACTCTTCCCCATGTTTCAGCACTGCACACGACAGAAAAAAAAGCATTACCATAAATCCCTCATTGATTACACGAAAGCTCTCCAGTTCCTAGTTAAAAATCAGCCGTCACATGAATGCACCACAGTGACTTTCCTCCCCCCCCCACCCCACCCCTGTCACGTCTGCATGCAATAAGATGATCTGCTCTGCACACCAAAAGGACCAACCGAAACAGACTATTCCAATGGGTTGATTTCAAAATGCTTGAAGCGAATGAGCAAATGTGCAGAAAAAGATCTTACCGTTTCTATAAACGAAAGTTAGGGGCGTCCTTGGGGCAAACAATCTCTGAATGAAACACCTGGTCAAATGATGTGGATTCCGCGCTCTCTTTCTCTCTCTCTCTCTCTCTCTTTTTTTAGTTCAAACTTGGAAACATAACAAAAAAAGCCAACACAAACAAGATAAAATGAGAAAAATAAAATGTTTTATTAAATCAAAAAACAGGAATGATATCGTTTCAGCAAATGCACGAAACAAACAAAAAGGTAAAAGGGAGGAGGAGGAAGGGAGAGGGGGGAAGATTAAAAAAAACCCCAAAGCCAACAGAAGAAAGAAAAGGGAATCAAATAATGAAACAAAAAAAAGAGCCCGGCTTTCTGCCCCGTGTCTCGCTCTTTACAGGTGCGCCACACAAATACGCCACATCACTGGAGTGGAAAGCGACGCGGAAGAGGAGGCTGTCTTTAAAAGAAGCTAGTCCTGCCGGGGAATATATGCGGGCCGCATCACAGCGCGCCTATATACCTCTCCGCACTCGCCGTTTCATCCCATTCAACCTACTCACGAGCATGCGTCGGACGCGGAGGTATACCCGGAGTGGCTCCCCGTCCGCTGCTCGTTGCGTGCGGCGGCTCTTAAACACCATTGGCTCTCAGCGCCGCGCGTCGCTCCTGGATCACAAGCTGCAATTCGTCCCCGAGACAGTCACTCAAAGAGACAGCGCGTTTATTCCTCATCCTCTTTTCTTTCTTCTCCCTTTATATGGCAGTTGAAGTCAAACACCGCTCCACTGAAGGACGGACAAGCGTCATTCGATTCACTTTCAACCCACATTCTGCACTGAAATGACCCGATGGCCATTTAAGGTGCGCTACTTTCACGTGTTGGCTTTTATTGCATCATCAGATAAAACACTATTTAAAACAAAAACCTATCTCCATCGCCCTTTTCCCGCCTCTCTCTGTCCGTCTTTATCTGGTCCATTCACATAATTTATCATCAGTAAATAACAGCAGACATCAGCCGCGTAATTCTGCCGCAAACCTGTCTATACGCTAATCGAAAGCTGCTGATTTCAGCACCACAGACAGCGCCGCGCTCGCATATAGACCGCCTGCAGGGCTCTTCAGTCAGAACTGAGTACAGCACAATTCAGCGCCCAGCACTCGGATCAGCAACAAAGATGGGCGTTTACGTTACGAATAGGCTGCTAGAGCTCCAGTTTAAATCACTTGTGAGGCCCGTTGTTCAGCCTGAGTGGAGCAACAGTTAGACTGGGAGGGGGGGGGGTTGATTCTGGGCAGGAACCTGCAAAACTAATTGCATAGAAAATAGCTTTGCCAATTTATTAATTCCAAGGCACCCTAAAACTCAAAAGGACGACAGAAACAAATGTCATGCAAATATGTTCATACAACTGACACACCAATATTAAAAAAAAAACCTTTGCAAAGTGACCCTTGCTAAGTTACTGAATTATGAGCCCACCTGTGTGAAATTTAGCTTAGTATAAAGTCAGATGTTCTTTGATAGCCTAATCGTTTTGTTTAGAGAACATTACTGACAAACAGCATCATTACATCCAAGGAACACAGAAGAAAGGTAAGAAGAAAGCTGTTGCTACACGAAAATGATGACAAGCTGCATTAACATTTGCCACAGGTACAAACACAAGAGGATGCTATGACCAGGTGAGATCAAAGCTAAACTTTTTGGCCCACATGTAGATTGTTACATGTGGGCCAAACATTGTTACATTGTTAACACTAAACATCATCCTGAATACAGCATCCGCACAGTGAAATGAGTAGATGGCAGCATCATGCTGTGGATATGCTTTTCTTAAGCTGGCAAGAGTCGATTGAAAGATGGACAGGGCTGCAGCAATCCAGGATTTAAACCTCTTGGACGTTGCTAAAAACTTGAGAATAGGTGCTGGAGGTTTCACCTTCCGGCTGCGTGACTAAACATAACCATCAGAGCTGCAATGAAATGCTTTAGATCATGTTTTGAAATTACCCCAGTCAAGTCCTGACCCAAGTAGGAGGACCTTGTAGTGTTCACAATAAACCTATGCATGTACATGGAGAACAGAATAAAAAGAATGCATAGTTTTCGAATAATAAAAAAAGAAAAGTTTGCTATAGTTCCATATTTATCACCTATGAACCAATAGGGGATGCCCTTAGGGGTATATCTCAAATGGAGATATATCCCTATATAGAAACTGAAACCTTCAACCATTCTTTTCTCAAAACACCTCAAGTTGATTCAGATGACTGAGAACCATCAGTCAACAGCCATTTTCACTTCCTGTCGTGGACTGGATCTAGATCCCACCATCCCAACACGTCTAACATCTAAAACATTTCAAGGTGTGCTGGGAGTAATGTTTTTTTTGTTGTTGTTTTTTTTACCACTTTCGTAAAGGCCAGATTTTGTGGAGAACACAACCAACAGCTGTCCTGTATGCAGATTCTCCCACATTAGGTGTGGCTCTCTGCAGCTCCTCCAAAGTTACCATGTAGCTCTTGGCTGCTACTCTAGTTAATGCTGTCCTTGCCCTGCTTGTTAGTTTAGATCAATGACCTCCATTGGTTTGAAGTTCTGCCATATTTTTCCCATTGTTAGATTGTGAACAGAACAGCGTTCTCTGAGACTTTCAAAGCTTGAGATGTTTATACTCTCACTCTGTTTTAAACGTCTCAACTTCCTCTCGGCCTGTCTGCTGTGGCTTAATGGTGCCGTTTTTCACTAATGTTCTCCAACAAATCTCTGAGGCCTTCGCAGAATATTCAATTCCAATAAATTACCTTGAAGAGGGTGGCTGTGCAGTGACTAAATGGGGAAAAAGTTCCAAGGTGAATGAATACTTCTGCAAGGCATTATATTTGTTCCTTGACCTAATGCCAAAACTAACCAAAGGCAGCAAGCCCAAATCCGGACTGACCAAATCACAGCCAATTTAAAAACGGCAAGAAGCACAGCAACCATAAATCAATTCTCATTTCTAAGTAAGTTTGTGCTCCTGATTCAGTGCTTTTCACAAGACTGTATACTAACTTGACTAAACAAGTATTCAAAAAACACAAAAGACACAAGAACTTAAGTGTAAAATTGTTTGTCTTTAGCCATTTTTAATTAAATTTGAAAAATGCAGACATGCAAATTCCATTTTTACCAAGAATTTTGTTGAAAACTATCCCAAATGCTGCTGATAGAAAACAAAGAACTAAGATCTGTGCCATCTTTGAATGCTGCACTGTATCTGCTAAACTTGAAGCCCATTCAAGGGAGGTAAATGGCAAATCATTTTATGCAAATCAACACAATACCACATAAGTGTTAGCGTGGATTCTAGTATTCCATAAAGAAAGCAGAGAAGTTGTGATACAGTGTCTGAAAGTGTTGAAAGGAGAATTTGCCTGCAGATCTTCTCGCAGCTTGTGCTCGTCTTGGCAGCTTTGCTGACAGGTCTGAACTGAAAAAAAGAGGGGAAAAACAAAGATGTTTTAAAAATGCACAAATAGCAAGCAGGTGTTACCAGAAAACATAAACATCCAATCTATGCTACACCTCACATTCATCCAGCACAACCAAACAAAACTTCTGCTTGTTTTAATTAAGGCTGCGTAAATAGTGCACCAATAGTGTGCTTCAGAGCAATTTTGTTGCTCCGAGCGTCACTCTTCGTAGTTTGATGAGGGTCCAGCTTTCTGGCTCACAGCAGTTGGTATTAGCATGTGATCATGATGTAAAACCTGGAAATCCTTTTCAGATGTCTCCTTTTAAAAATTCTTTTTTTCTTCTCACCGCCAACATTAAAGAAAGGTAAAGACAAAAGCAATCAGAATCAAGACGTTTACGTCCAGTCTAGTTTCTGAATCTCCTTGAAGTTATTGTCACTTCACAAATATCAGTTCATTAACATTTAGACCTCTTAAGATGAAAGGAGGACGAAAGCCTATTGTCTCATTTTATGGTAATTTGTGAATGTACAGCACGGCGCCAAAGTCTTCTCTCATTTCTTCATGTTGTCACACTTGTTGACGCTGCTGTTACAAACAACCAGCTTCTTTGAAACGTTAGACATTTTCCTACCCGCAGCCTGTCAATTTACTGAACTTAATCAACGGAAAACAACAAGAATAACCAAGTTTGAAAGACAGGAAGCATATTTTGGTATAAACAAGTAGACTCTCAAATCTACTTGTTTTCTCAGTTGAAAACTGTGCAGACATACTATATAAAGAACACTATTTCTCTCATTATATGTGGCAGAACTTTGTTGGAAAAAATATCTCATTGAAAGCACAGACCTCAATGTATTTTTTTTTTGGGGGGAGGAGGGGGATTTATATGGTGGATCAACACCAACAAATAAAAACTGAAAAGCATAGGGTGCATTTGTATTTGGCACCCTATGATGTAATACCCCTAAAAAAAATTCCCAACTAGCTTCTGAAGTCACCTAACTGGGGATTAGGGATGCTATTGTAGAGATGCTTAAAGCAGGCCAGGCTATTCAACTGTAAACCGTATCCTAAGCTTTGAGCATTTCAAGTGTTGAGCCAATCATCTGAAGACAGAAAGCAAGGCAAACCTGCAAACCCTTAGTCATCCACCTAAAGCCAACAAGGGGAGTTTTAGTTACAGAGGCCATACTTCTCAAGTTTTTATTTTCTGAAAACCGTGCATCATTTTCTTGCAACTGTTTTAATTTGTCATGTAAAGTCAAAATAAAATACAGACTTGGATCTCTATTCACAGGTTATGTGCCTTGTCGTTTCTTGTTTAATTTTTAAAGGAAACCCTTTCGGTCCAAGTATTCCTGAGTTACCTCTTAAAGCCCACATTAAATACCCAGACACAGCATCACAGTGTCAGTCTCAGTCGTTCTGGCTTGGGACTGAACAAACAGCCGGCAAGTACTCCTAGAGCAATGGTGTATTAAATGCTATGCTGCTCAGGAGAATTCCCTGCGTGGCAGCCAAGGCAACAATCATTAGCAAATCTTACCAGCTTCCTGCAGCTTTGGTCCAGCACTGTCTTGCTGTCAGGGCCTCGCAGCACGCTCCTGGCCAACCACACCATACCCAGGGAGCTGTAGGAAATCAGCCGTCTCCGTTCCACCAAGGAGACCAGACATATTAGGCTGCGAGCTGCAGAGCACCCTCTGGGTGAAAGATTAATTAGAGCTGACAAATCGCATACTATTGGAAACAAGCCCAATACATCACACAAAGATGGCTCACATGAAGCAAATGAAAGTGATTCAGTGGCTCCAAGAGGCCTGAAGTATTCCTCCAAGTCCTGTTGTATTATGGTTAGCACACTACTGCTGCTTCCCCTCTTGTGAAAAAAGTATTCAACCAGGAGTGTTTGGCTCAAGAGCATGCATTTGTTCACCTTTTTTTTCTTAAACATAGACACAGGCAGCAGCTGTCATCAGTTTGACACCCAGTTACTTGTATGAGATTTACCTACTATTCTCAGAGGTTCTCAAAAAGTAAAATCATGCTGAGCTCCAGTTACCCGAGAAGTGGAAACTCGGACGTTTGACGTTAGACCCAAGGTAACAGCGGTCTAGTTAAAAAGTCGGGATTTCAACATGGCGACGCCCACAAACATCGTTTACAATAGTTCTGACAACCATATATTTTTTTTAACGTTACGTTTCATAAGCTAATACCACGTTCAATTTTTTTCAGATTAGAGTTCCAGGTGCAACATGTACCATTGATTTGTCTGTCTTGTAAAGTAAACACTTTTTTCACCACTTCTTGCAATGTTAATGCGAGGAGCGGCCATTATGAAGCGCGAAGTCTGCCTTATAAGTCCAAAATGGGGTCGTTGAAGTTGCTCCAGCATCATAGGGTGTTGCAGTTAATTTTTCCGACTGGGAAGACGAGATTTCCCAGTTCCGTGTACAACTGGAACGCACATGGACATAATATAAGGATAGACTCCTCATGGACCGCTCTCGCCTATTGTCGCTGACGAGATTTAGGACGGCCATCTTGGAGCGGTACTCCACTCCACTCAGC